GAAATGCTTGTTTCACATTGTCTTCTCACAAGAAAACTGTATTTTTTGGAAGCTGATTTACAATGCTACCTCCTCTTTCACAGACTGACTGCTGTGCAGAGGAGTTTAGTCTGTCTAAATTTCCAGAGTTCACAGCTCCACTCTAGTGAATGTGTATATGTGGCAAGTTACAAAAAAAAATCTAAAGGAACTGCAGATGTCTGATTTGTGGAGCTGAATATCTTCTTATTAACTAGTTCATATGTAACACTCAAGACTTGTGTAGTCAGTAAACTTTTGTAGGGTTCTGAATAAAGCCAAATGAATCCTGGCTTTTATGTTGGAGAATGCAGCCTTTTTTTCCAAGGCCAGACTTAGAAGCTGTAAGTCTTAGAATGCTCTGAATTGAGAAACTGTTTCTCAGAAACTCATGGGCTTGGGTTTTGGTGTTTTTTGTTGTTTGGGGTTTTTTTTAAGTAAGAAATGTTACTTCTTGAAAATGGGGAAAGAGGGATTCTTGTTGCTATGGGGTTAGTGAGTGCTTGCCCTTTAAACAGTGACAAACATGGGTTGTGGCTGATTTGTGATGTCCCAGTGCAGCTTTACAGTACTTTTGCTTGGTGGGATTGTTCAAATACTGCATCCAGCAAAGGAAAAACAAAATAGCATCAGGATCTTTAAAAGGACTTGTGTACTGACTCTAGACTGACAGCACACATGGAGGCCCAAAAGGTATATGGCAGAAAGTGTAGTAAGAGAAAGATGCTACTGAGGAGAAATGGCTAACCAAACCAGTGCCAGAAAGCTGAATTTCAGTCCCTTGAACATTGTTAGATCTCCTTGTAATCAGGCACTAACTACCTTTAGGTCTGAAAGCGTGCTCAGGACCTAACTGATCTAGTTCCTCTGCAAATAATAGGCCTTATTGTGAGATATGACCACCTAATTTCTGAGATTAATTGAACTCCTTTGATATTAAAATATCATGGAGAGATTATAGATAGTACAAGGCAAGGTCAGTCTAGTTCAGCATCCTGACTCTGATAGTGAGCAACAGTGCTCGTCAGGGAAAGAGGAGCACAGGGCAAGGGTAGTGGTATTTCTCCAAAACAAACTCCCAACCTCCTGGCAGATAGAGCCTAAAGATATGCTCTACAGATAGAGCCTGCCGATGGAGATATATAGATACAAGGGTTATTTGGGCTAAGAAATTATCAGAACTGACCCTTTGTCATGCAACCTCACTTGTGACAAATTAGCACTTTAAAAATGTCTGAAAATTTCTGACTGGCTCTAATAATGATTAATGAAGATTTGGCAAGGAGAGATGAAAAGGGAGAAAGAAAAAGACTTGCTCCACATGCTGCTTGCTATCATAAAAGGCAGCAGAGGATTGCAAGAATGACATTCTCTTTTAAAGTAATGGTATGTTGAATGTGGAACTCTGAAGGCAATATTAATTGAGGGTAGATGGGTTAAGGACAGGCAGAAGAGACCAAGAACATGGTTCAGTGATGGTTAGACATAGGTAAAGCATGAGAAGAGCCACAAAGGGACAGACAAGGCTGTAAGAGAATGGAACAAGGAAAGATAAATGCCTGGGTTCTCCTGCAACAATGACAGTGTATGAAAAGGTTCAAAACCCCGGTGGGATGGACTCTTGAGACCATTCAGTCCCCTCCTGAAAGCCTGCTCTTCTTTTTGTTACCCCTTTGTGACTGCTCTTGGCAAACTGGAGGAGGAGAGAGATTTGGAAGGGCTAAGGGTGCATAATGGGAAGAACATTAAAGATGAGGAGATCAACTAATTAAAGTCTAAAGAAGTGAAGGAAACCAGAGCAAGGGATCTGTTGAAGAGTCAAGTCCCAGAGGGAGGATCCCAAATTACATTTGAGAGGGGAGACTGGTTTGGAGAGAAGAACAGTTTAGGTTAGAAAGCAAGACAGTTAGGAAGAAAATGTTATCTGATGGTAAAAAGTGCATAGGATTGCATCTGTTAGATATGGGGAGATGTCACTTCTAATGAAAATGAAAGGGAAGATTTTTTTAATATATTTTGAGACGAAAGAAAAGACAATTTTAATGGAGGAGTACTTGTGGTTATCAGCAATGATGTTTTGTTTTTCATGTGGCTATCATCATACAAGTAGCAGCTTTGCAAATTAAAGTATAATATGCTTTCTTCTAGAACTTTCTCGTTTCAGGAGTTCTCATTACCAAACACTCATTTTTGACATGGCTGGCATCTATTTATCTGCATGGTCTATGAAAAGCAGAGTTGAAGCATCTACTTACTATCTGAATTAAGACAGGGTAGAGCAATTAGCAGAGCATATCCCTCTAACTCATTTATCCCCTTCAAAGTATGAATAAGGAAAAGGCGGACTCCTGAAACACAGGATTCAAAGAGGACAGGGGAGTATCTTAGAATTTTTTCCCAGGCACAGTTATATAAGAAATATGTATTTAACTTAAACATAATTTTTTTTATACTGAGAGGCAGTCATTAAGGTTACACATCTATTTCAGTTATATGTGTATTTTATTAGCTTTATGATTATTTGCAACTATTTATTTACAATTTATTACTTACAGTTGAATCACCTGACATCTGAAAATCAACTGAAATTTCTCACTTCTGTAATAACAGGTAACTTAACTGTAGTCTGAAAACACAGTTCTGTTACACTTGTTTGGTAGTTAATTAAGTGTGTGGTTAGATAATAAGCATTAGCTGTACTATGATGGTATGAATTTATCTCCTTTAAAAATAATATGTTTAGCCTTCTAAGTGGTTTAATAAATAGATAGCTGTAGTAACTTAAAAAAAAAAACGTTAGTAGTGCTAAATTTCTGGGGGGCAGGGGGAGGAATATGATTTTTACTTTATATACTTGTGCCTTTATAAACAGGCTTGAATGCTTTAGGATAAGAAATCTCTCCATGTGCCTCAAAGCTGTTAGCTGTTTTGTTTCTCCATGGTAACAGGAGTATAAAGCAGTATGAGCATGTTACTAAAGTAGGGAGACATGACATTGTTTAGAAATGGGATTATATGTTAGGACTGCAGCTCTGGAGTGATTCTGAATTAGGCATTTTCTTATACACAGGTGCTGTGAATGTGTGCAGATGTGCTAATTAAAGGCAAGGCTTAGGGATCCAAAGCTGGCCTAAAACAGTCTATCAGTCTGTAAAGTTTGCAGACAGGCCGATTAAGCTCTCCCAGAAACATGGCTGAACATGTGAAGAGGCCTATGCCAGATCGAGGTCCAAATGTAGGGCTCCATCTGAGGTTCAGATATAATAGGCAGATGACATCTAAATTAATACAGAGCTATCTGTAAGTTTTAGTCAGTAACCTTGCAATATTAACTAGGTGATCTCTGTTTACTTTTGTTGCCACCTTGGCAGAAGAGTATATATCAAGAATTCCTCAGCAGACTAGCTAAGAGAGTTCTTTCATGAAGAAATGAACAAAGGTAATGGTTTATAGTAGAGCAGTTTCCTCACACGCTGACCTCTCCCTTGCACTGATGCACTCTTACCCTTTTCTTCTTTCCCTGTTGAGATGACTCTGACCTACTGGACTGAGATAAAATCTACTAACTTGCATTTATAGTAAGGGAAAGGTTCTGGCAGCCTTTTTCTTATCTGTACGTATTGCATCTTGTCCTGTCTCTGTTCCAACAAGCTGTTCCGTAGTGCTGGCTTGAGCTAACCTTGCTGACTGAGTCGTGTTTCCTCCCAATAGACGTAGCCTGACGGGGGACAGAGCAGTGTGTGCCTGTGTGTGCTTGATAGAGCCCTTTCCTTGTGCAGTTATAACAGGGTGACTTCCTTGTTTCTCCTCCCTTCCTCTCGGGGCAGGTAAAAGTAATTTGTTCTAATTCAGGAGGCCACGCCATCTGCACCAACACAAGGCAACTTCGTGCCAAACACACCTTCCCTTCTGTTGAGCCTCATACCGATGGTTTGACTTGCTTTCCTTTTCCTGCAAGGGAAAATTGGTTTTTTATTCCTGCTCCCTAAGGAAACTGAGTCGTAGATCAGTTCTGCCTCCGTGTTCATGCAAAATTCTCTCCGCTGTTCGTTCTTGTTAGTTCTGACCGAATTGGGAAAATCCGAAATTCAACCGCTGTACAGCTTGGGTAGCTGGGGAGAGCCCCCAGTTAATACTGTGCAGAGAGGGGTGGGGGACAGGAGGGAAAGCTGAGCGGTTTGGTAGGTGGGTGGGCTCTGTGCCGAGCCCCAGTTGAGGCACTCGAGAACCTTTGTTATCGCAGGGCTCTGCTTTAGGATCAGCCCTGCGCCTGCTTCCTCCCGGTGCCGCGGGGACGCGGATTGCTCGCTCCGCTCCTGCCCTTACATAACCGCGTTAGCAGGGCTGTGCCAGGGGAACTATTTCGGGCGGCAGTGCCCCTCTTCGAAGCCTTTACGCAATAAACCGTGCGGGACTAGGCCCGAGAGGGGCGCCGGGGACCGAGGGGAAGCAGGGCAGAGCGCTGCGAGGCTGCGGCTCGAACGCGGGGGCATTTCGGTCGGGCCGTGGCCTCATGTCAGCGAGCGGGAGCTGGCGCGGGGATGGCTCCCAGCCCCGAGCGGGGTCAGTGTGCCGGAGCTGCGTGTCGGTGAATCCGCTGCGGGGCAGGAATACGCCAGAAGGCGCGGCCCGCTGCGCTCGGCCGGGCATCCTTACGGGTAACAGGGTGTTACAGGATAGCGCGCGGAGCGCCTACTGTGCCGGTGGCGGGGCGGGGCGGCGCGCGCGCGGCGGCGGTTGCGTGCGCGCCCCGCGAGGCGGTCTCCCTCGCAGCTCCGCGGTGAAAGGATTTCGCCAGCGTGTCCCGCTCCGCAGCTCCCGCAGCCGCCGCAGCCGCACAGCCCCCCGCGCCTCCGCCCGCTCCCACCGCCGCGCCGGGCACCCATGACCACCGCAGGCACAAGCCAGAGTCGCCGCCGTCCCTGACCGCCGCCGCCCGCGCGCCGCCCAGGACCGAGCCGCCAGCCCGCCGCCATTGAAGCTGCTCGCCCGTGAACTGAAGAACCTGAAGGTTGTCGGAGCTGAATGAAGCTGAAAAAGCGCGCCTCTCCGACAAGGGCCTCAAGCCGCAGCTCATGCGAAGCGCGCCTCCAGGCCCCGCGCTTGACACAGGGAGGAGGCCGGCGGGGCGGCCCCGCCAAGCGCGCGGTCCGAGCCCGGCAACGGCGCGTGATGGGAGGCAGGCCGAGAGCGGCGGGGGCGCCGCGCAGCTCCGCCAGGGGGGAGGCCCTGGCCAGGCCGCGGCCTCCGCCATGGAGGACGACGACGAGGAAGGGCTGGAGGCCGCTGATGGCGACGCCATGGAGCTGGGCGAAGAGAACGGCGAGCGAGCGGGGGCCGGGGGCGGTCCCATGGAGGAGGAGGCGGGCGGCGACGAGGAGGAAGAGGAGGAGAGCGAGGATCGGATGAACGCGGACGACCAGGGATTCCAGAGGGGGAGACGCAGCTGGCCGACAGAGGAGAGGCCGTGGCCGGAGACGCCAACGGGCACGCGACCAGCACCGCCGCCGAGTCCCTAGCAGCCGCAGGCACCCCCACCGCTCCATCCCCACCGCGCGGCGCCGCCGCCGCCAAGGAGGCCCCGGGCAAAGAGCGCCGGGGCGCCGTCGGGGCCCGCTGCGGCCGCCGCCTCCGGCCCGGCGGGCCCCGTAAGCACAGCAGCAGCAGCAGAAAAAGCGGAAGCGGCAGCGGCCGCCCTTGGGGCTCAGGCGCCGGGGGTGAGTAGCGCGGTGGGACCGAGGGGGGGCCATTAGATCCCATCCCCCGCCCGCCTGGCAGGGGCTGCCCGCCAGTGGGTGTGAGGGCGCGGCTTCCGGGCCGCGCGCGTAGAGGACGTTGGAGAACCCCGCTGCTCGTGCGGCCCGGCGGGGCCGGCCGGGGGGAGGCCGCGGGCGAGGGGCGGCGAGGGGCCGCTGGGGCGCGCTTGCATTGTGCGCCGTAGGTAGCGCTGCGGCGCGCGTGACGTCACCTTCCGGGTGGGCGCACGGGATTGGGCGCTGGAAGGCCCGGCGAGTACAATGGAGCGAGAGGAGGAGAGGAATTCCGTGCCCTGGGGCTCCCCGCCCGCGCCCCGCCGGGTAGGAGGCCGCCAGTCTGCGGATCGCGCTCGTGCCCTTGCGAGCGGCCGGGAATGTCCCGCTGTCCCCGCGGGGAGGAGGATGGGGGTGCGGCGTCGCAGCGGGTCCAGGTTTTTTTTGGTCCTTTTATTTTTTTTCATTTTATTTTTCTGGCTTTTCCGTGGGGATCTTAACACCGACGGCCGCACCGGCTGCTGCGTGGTGTAGTGGCAGCTTCCGTCTGCTAAATCACTTCTGACTCACGACAAGTTCTGAGTCTCCCGAGAAAATTCGAGATATGGGGTTCTATCTTTAAAAAAAAGAGCAAAACTTCTTTTTAGGATATTATTGTTTTTCTCAGACTGTAAGTTCTTGCAATTTACAAGCTTATAGCCCTCAGAGAGATTTTATTCCTAATTATATTAAAACTTAAAACAATTAAAATTAATCATTCATTTTGTTACAGGAGATGGTAAAATGGAACAAAAACCTGGTGAGAAGAAGAGGGGAGTGAAAAGACCACGTGAGGACCATGGCCGAGGATATTTTGAATACATTGAGGAAAATAAGTATAGCAGGTAAACAGACTTGATGCTGGGTAGCATTTTGTGAATGAGGAGGAGTAAAGTACAGGAGTGTCTATTTTAACATTGTGAAAATATATGTAGCTTTATTATCTTTTGTTTGGTCTTTGTTTTATCAGGGCCAAGTCCCCTCAACCACCTGTTGAAGAAGAAGATGAACATTTTGATGACACAGTGGTTTGTCTTGATACTTGTGAGTAAACATGCTTTCCTTTGCTCTGGAAAGATGTGGTGTTATATTTTTAATCTTAATGCCACACTTTCTGAAATGCAGGCAGAATACCTTTGTTGACTTTCATTACCAGGTAACTAAAAAATAAAAGAAATTGTGTTTCTACCCGTTTTCAATATACAGAGATCAGAAGGATATGCAAGTATATTAGCAGCAGTAAGCTTGTTTTCCTACAAAGTCTATGGTGACAGAATTTTGTGAAGAAATCTTAACCAAAACTCTTACACAGTATGGAAGCTTGAGTGGCCAAATGTAGAGTGAACATAGAACACCCTGAAAACAGCTTGAGAAAATAGTTGTCCAGCACTGCTGCTTCAGAAAGCTTAGAGAGTCAGTAGTGTAAGTGATTACAGTAGTATGGTTGGTGAAGTGAGCTTCCCGCATAACTTGCGCTATATGTGCACCGAGCAGTGGAGTGTTCTTTCACATCTTCTGAGAAATTGAACAAAATCTGGTAAGGCCTCCTGAAAGGTGACCCATTTATGCAGCCTGGGAGTTTATGGGGTTGGGTGGTGATTTGTGTAAGTGGGAAGACAGAGGGAATTCGTTGGCAGAGCGTAGACTTTGACAAGTACCTGCAAATGGGTTTTTTGAGACAGATTATAAACATTACTATTACGGGGATGTACCGTAAGAGCAAAGTTGACCTTTGTATTCTTGAGGGTAAGTATAAGAACTTAGTGCAATATTAGAAAACTGGAATAAGTAGTGCTTGAACTTGTTGGATTCTTAAAGTGCCATGGAAGAAAAGCTTAACTTCTGGCATTATCTAGCATATTTGTTAGTAGTTCCAGATGGTTTTTTTCCCACAACAAGTGCTTTGAAATGGAAGGCAGTATTAGTTTACAGCCACATAAACTGCTCAATATGCCATCCTTGACATTTTGGTAACTAAATCTCAAGTTTCTAGCTGCTAACCTGGTGAGTAGCCACCTCTGTGGGAGCTTTGGATTTTCCCAATGACTGAGTAAATGGCTGCTGTTAATTATTACTATTTCTATAATAATAATAATTCCTAGTGAAAAGTTTTCTTACTGGACAAACTTCATGATTTAAAGTGTTAAGAGACTGTTTAGAGATAAGATTCAAACATAGCCTAAAGACTGAATAGGTATTCTCTTTTCTGCACCATAGTGATCCAGACATATAAGAGGTTTAGCCACTCTTAAGTACCTTTTATTTCCCGTGTCTTAAAAGGAAGCTGTAATTTTAAATTCTGTTGTCATTTCCTGTTCTATAAGTAACATGCAAAGGTGGGTTTCTTCTGTGTGATTTTATCTGGTTTTCACACAACAAATAAAAGTTAAAAGTACTAATGAGAAAACACTTGGAAAACACTGTTGCAGTTGGGGATGGTTGTATGCAAAAATCTTGTGCCTGACAGTTGCCAGTAATACAGGGCAGACTGCATTTGGTGTGCTCAGGCAGCGTGCAGGTTTTACACTAGAGCAGAACTCACTGTTTGCTCCTTTAGCTTCTTTCTTGTAACTATCGAATAGGTTTGGAGCTTCATCTATGGATTCCTTGTTCTGGGGAATTAAAGTGCTCTATGCTGCACCCCATCTTACCATTTGGCATTGTCATTCTGAAACCTATTAAAAGATTAATTAGCAATTTGATGGTGTTCAGCTCTGAAGATGCCTGTAAAACCAAGGTTCCATTTAAGCTCTTAGGTGAATTCATAGTGTAGGTCTTGTTTTTGGTCTGAAGTAGGTTCTCAGGCTAAGCACAGAGAGTGTTTGAATTAAACACTTGTGTTTTAATTGGCTTAATCTAATGGGACTCGCTAGTTTATTGTATTAACCAGAGACTATTTTCAGTACTCAAACGTTCATGTTTACTTCTTAGCAGCCCTTAATTTTGAGGGTGAGCATTAAGAATACTTCAAAAACAGTACAACAGCACATACTGCCAAGAGCATGATGCAGATTGCTCTGTACTGGCAGAAATAGGTAACCAACAAAGAAGACTCAAGTGGGTAGATAAGGTGAAATTCAGGGGCTTTTAAACAGATGGAAAAAATAGAGGGGAAATGGGTGACAAAAGTGAAGATAACACCTTGAAAAATTGCTCTTGTTAGCTAGTTTTTTTAAGACTTTATGCTGAGCTTCAGCCTGTGCCTCTGTCTAGGCATATGTTCAGTTGTGAGTTGCTTTTCTGAAAGCCAATGAGTACTTGCTGGCAGTTTGTCTTGAATATCACCTTTGAAAGCTGACATCACCTTTAATGCATACAATTGGACACCTGTACGTTATTTTGTAATCAGAGTAAACAGAATGATTTTTATGTTAACAGATAACTGTGACCTGCATTTTAAAATCTCAAGAGACCGGTTTAGTGCTTCCTCTCTGACCATGGAAAGCTTTGCTTTCCTTTGGGCTGGAGGGAGAGCTTCCTATGGAGTTTCTAAAGGCAAAGTCTGCTTTGAGATGAAGGTGAGTTACTGATGCTTACAGGAGACTGTTTTGCATGCTTAAATAAAATATTGTTTATACTTGTCACATTTTTTGGACTAAGTTAAAGCTACATCATGTGAACAAGGCCTCAGAAGGCCTTGTCTTATGTGCCTGTGAAATGTTCTTGATAAAAGATGGCTCAGTTTGCAAAACTGTTTCCTCTTTAATAAGAACTTCCATTTAACAACAAAAAAACACCAAACAAAGCCCCCCAAAAAAACCACAAAACCCTTCATTTTGTCTGAATGAGATGTTTGCTCTCATTTTTTAACCAAGAATTCTATTTGGGAGCTCATGCATCAACACTTGTAGAACTTTTATACTCTCTAGTCAGAAGTTTGCTTGGACTTTTTGAAGAGTACAGAGAGCTTGATTTCTTTTTAAAAAAGGGATATAAATTATCCCAGCAGTCCTTTCTGTTTCCACTTCTCTTTGAGTTTGACCTGCTCTAGGTAGAGACTTGGGCTGGATGACCTCCAGAGGTCCCTTTCAACATGATTAACTCTGACTTGATGCATTGAATGTGAGTATTTAGCAGGTAGTTAAATTTTGAGAACAAAAGTTCTCCTGAAGGCTAAGAACAGCAAAGAGCAATCAGCCTTGTAATAAATTGATTTCTCCAACTTGTGGATGGAAGAGTAACAAGAGCACAAAGCTTGAATTTTTTTTATTTTTTTTACTTAAAACCATGTTAAAGGCTTCTTTGCATGATGTGCCTGTGTTCTCTTACTCTGTTCTCTTCCTCTAGTGCTTTGACATGTAACTTTTTCCATGAGAACTGGGTAGTGATCCCGTTCTTGCTGTTGCATGGAGTGATTTCTTTTCTTTAACTTTGGGAGGCCACTAAAGTGAAATTAATGTCACTGTTGCCCTGTTCACTTTCAAATCAGTTTGACCTGACTTAAAAAATTGCAGAAGCTGGTAGGATACTGATGGATTTTTCACTTGAATTTGGTGAAGTTAGTAAATGCAATTAAGAAATAGCTGGTTGCCTACAGATTCCAGTGCTTTTAGGTGGTTTGTTGGGGGGTTTTTGTATGTTGGGGTTTTTTTGTTTAAATCTGGTTATGTTGTTTGGAAGTTGGCAGTTTGCCCAGGAAGTCTGCTTACAGTGAAAAGGGATGAGTGTAATATTTGCCTCAGTCTATATAAAGCAATTTTTTTTTATCCATTGCATATTTTCTTAGCAAAGTAATTTACTGTTAATCCAAATTTTATGGCAGCTCTTTTGTTTTTTTTAAATATGTATACATCTTGTTTGTAATACTAATACAGTGTCAAAAGGACTTAAGGCTTTTGGCCACTGAGGGGGACTACTTTGACAAAGTGATCAAGATATATGGTATCTTCAGTCTTCATTGCTAGGTCAGGAGATAAAACTATTTAGTCGTTGGCTTGTGGTTTCAGAATGTTTTATTTTTGCAGAAGGTGATTACTTAGCAAAGATTCAACCAATGTGTAAAGGTTCCAAATACTACCTTTTGTGCTTCCATCTTGTTAGTGTCTAATAAATATCGCTTACCTTTTGCTGAATAATTTAAAAATAGGTTACAGAAAAGATTCCTGTTAAACACCTGTATACAAAAGATATTGACATACATGAAGTGCGAGTTGGCTGGTCACTGAACACAAGCGGAATGTTGCTTGGTAAGAATTAAATGTTTGATTGCTTTTGAATTGTGTATGCTGAATATGGCTGAAGTTTTAAATCATCTTTTTCTGAAGCAGGTGGGACAAGCTTAGTGCTTGTAATCTATGTGTTCTGAAAAGTCTTTATTTGGTCCTAGTAATAAACTTTCTCACACCATGTCCTGTAAATGACTCAAATTAAGCCATTAAGTATTCAGGCTTGTAAGGAGTTCATAATTTCAGAGCTAGTTCTTCCAGTGGTCAAGTATGGCTTGTGGAGAACATTATCAAATACTTAACAAGATAAAGATTTCTCCTTTTTGTGTGGTGTCATAAGAGGGAACAGGGGCAGCCCTTCTCTCTCCCCCTTCTCTTTTTTCCTCAAGGATGGGACATAGTGTAAGATTTAACCAGTGAAAAAAAATTAATGGATAACTCCATTATCATTCTTTTGGCTTGGGGGGGAAATCCTAATTTCTGAAAATAGTTGGAAAAAAAAAAGTACAACTTCATTAGATGTATGGCAAATGGTCATAATAACACTGACAGCTCATACTTGTTGCTGAAACACATCTTTGTGGGAAATGTGTATGAGTTGGTATGTTCTGACATCAGCAACAGCTTTCTAGTTAAGTACTTAAGTTCCACCTGAGTGCTTATGTTTGACACTTCCTGTTAGCTTGTTCCTTGCAGCTTCCTCCTCAGCTGTGGCATAGGCTGACTGTCTGCTAAACTCCCTTTAAAATGGGAGGGGTAAGTGCTACTGGAGACTAAATTCAGTCAGAAAGCCTTTCTGACTATGTTACAGTAGGTATACCAGTGCATAATGTGAGGTCTTCAGATTTTAAAAATACTTGCTCATGTCTTTATCTGGCAGTTCAGCTTTATTGTCAGGATGAATCTGGAACCAGCAGCATAAGGCTCTTAAAACTGGGGTGAGGAAAGGCTGCCGTTCCATCTCAAGTGAGAGTATTCTTGAATAGAAAAGTGAGCTTGTGTAACTGTTTAAGGTCATAGCTTGTTTTGGCATTAATAAAAATATTCTGAACGGCAGCTTACATAAGTAGCTGTAAAGTGATTTATTTCTAAAAGGTTAGGTGGGAATGCCTGTTTTTAATTAGTTTAAATCATTTCTTCAGGTGAAGAAGAATTTTCTTATGGGTATTCTCTAAAAGGAATAAAGACTTGCAATTGTGAGACTGAAGACTTTGGTGAGAAGTTTGATGAAAATGATGTGATTGGATGTTTTGCTGTAAGTTTTCACTTATTCAAGGATGTTTTTCCTCAAAAGAGAATATTTTTAGACTTCTTTGATGTGATAAGCAGTAAAGCAAATACTTAAAATCATGGGAGCAAGACAAGTTGTTTAACATAGGGAGATGCTAGAAGCAGCAGCTATTATCAACAGTGGCTGCTGCCAACGTGATTACGTATTCATAAACAAATGTTTTTAAAGCCTTTAACAGAAAAATCAGATCTTAAACAAGATGATCATTGGCAGTAACTCATTGTAAGAGAAAATTTGTTTTAGTTCGTTTATGATATAGCAGTGTTACAGGAGTTAAATGAATATAGCGAGTATAGTGAAGTGACTAATATAATTTCATAGAGTGAGGTACTTTTATCTAACGTGATGTTTTGTCTGAAAAACAGAATTTTGATGGTGATGAAGTGGAACTCTCATATTCCAAGAATGGACAAGAGCTTGGTGTTGCATTCAAAATAAGCAAGGAAGTTCTTGATGGACGACCACTCTTTCCACATGTTCTCTGCCATAACTGTGCAGTTGAGTTTAACTTTGGTCAGAAGGAGGAACCTTACTTTCCTGTTCCTGAAGAGTATACCTTCATCCAGAAGGTCCCCCTGGAGGATAGGGTCCGAGGACCAAAGGGACCTGAGCAAAAGAAAGATTGTGAGGTAAGTTTCTTCTTGATAATCTCAGAGTTGTTGAGATAGATGGATGGCAGTGGTAGACTTAAGCAGGCTATTACACCACACTCTGATGTTGTTTGGGAACTTTAATACTTGGTATCCCATGACTGTTCACTACCACCACCACCCCCTGACACTCCTACATTCCCTCTCAGTATTCATTAGGCTTTCTGGGCTAAGTTACATACTAAAGAAAATCTTTGAACTAGTATCTCAAGTATAGAACTTGTCGTCATAGGTGGTGATGATGATTGGTTTGCCTGGGGCTGGCAAGACTACGTGGGTTACCAAACATGCAGCAGCAAATCCCGGGAAGTACAACATTCTTGGGACAAATACTATTATGGACAAAATGATGGTAAGTGAAAATACGACGTTTGATTTCTTAATATATTAAAAACTTGGTGTAAATCCAAGGTGTCTGGCTGCTGTGGGATTCTTTTGTATCAAAGAAACTGGCTACGTGTTAGCTAGTGACTGTTAAAAGTCTTTTTACCTTGCTGAGCTACTCATTTGTATGTGGCACAGCAGAATTCTAAAGCTTTTTGTGGTAGTATATAAAAAACAGTCAGCTGTTGTTGACTCTTTAACATATTTCTGTTTCTCTGTGTTACTGTTTTCAGAATAGAATGTTTAGCTGGAATTAGTATTGTGATGAGTATACCTTGAACTGAACTGTATTGATTCACCTAGAGTCTTTGTTTGTAAAGCTCTGTGTCTTATGGAGGCTTGAGAATTTCAGTTACGAGTTTGCAGCTATTGCCTTCAATTGAACAATCCATGAATTGAAGTGGAGAATATTTAGCAAAGAAAATGTCAGCCACGTGTATCACAACTACTTTAACTCTGGAAAATCTCTCCATAGGTTGCAGGTTTTAAGCGTCAGATGGCAGACACTGGGAAACTTAACACACTGTTGCAGAGAGCTCCACAGTGTCTTGGGAAGTTCATTGAGATTGCAGCCCGTAAGAAGCGGAATTTCATTTTGGATCAGGTAGAAACTTCAGTGAAAAACGGTTAAGGAATCTGTTATAGGCTGTAATGTAGTAATTAACTGGGATTAAAGTTACATTGTAATAGCACTTTCACTTACTTACTACTCAGGGGACACAAAGTTGAGATATTACTACAAATGCTTGTCTGAACTTCTCTGGATTTATGGGATGTGGGAGGAATAGCGTTTTAACACGTGGATATGAGTTCGTAACTTTGCATTGTGCAGCATCTTTATGTCCAGTTATTTGTAAACTTCATTGCAAGCTCTTGTAGAGGTGAAGTCTATACACCATAAGTTGACTTCCTTAACTCTTACAATGACAGCTACGTGTAGTAAGTTACTGCATTTTTTTCAGACAAATGTGTCTGCAGCTGCGCAGAGGAGAAAAATGTGCCTGTTTGCAGGCTTCCAGCGCAAAGCAGTTGTTGTTTGCCCAAAAGATGAAGACTACAAGCAAAGAACACAAAAGAAGGCAGAGGTGGAGGGAAAAGATCTTCCAGAGCATGCAGTTCTCAAAATGAAAGGCATGGAACATAATCCTATACTGTGTTTTAGGATGCTGACTATCTGTTTAAAGGATTAAGTAAACGTGAAGTCTAAAAAAAAAATCACTTTATCTTAAACAGTTGTACTTAAACAAAACTGGAAGACTATTGTAACTTGGTAGGATAACACTATATTGTGTTCCCTCTGCTGCAGTCCTTAACACTACTCAGTTATGCTGATACGCTTCATGCAGATGCACAAAGCTGTCTTGGCATAAAGTGCCCTATATGAGTGATATATTTGGCAGAAACTGGTATTCTGAGTGGAGGCTTATAAAAGAAAAAAAAAGATACAGGCAGAATGTTTTTGAGGTTTGGAACAGTACTGGTAACTCCATGAAGACCTGTTTATTTCTTTTGTCACTGTTATATTTCCTAAATGCTCAAATTATGTAATTTTGTCCCTATGCTTGAGGGAATGCAGGGGGTGGGAGGAAGAATGGGAGAAAGGTGATTAAATTGCAGCTTTGATTGTAGCTGAATGTAGATGCTGAATACTCAGTGTTTTTGCAATTATAGGGAACTTCACACTGCCAGAGGTAGCAGAATGTTTTGATGAAATAATCTATGTAGAGTTGCAAAAAGAAGAAGCTCAGAAGCTTTTGGAACAGTATAAAGAAGAAAGTAAGAAAGCTCTTCCGCCAGAAAAGAAACAGAACACTGGCTCAAAGAAGAACAAGAAGAGCAATAAAAATCAATTTAATAGGGGTCAGAGAGGACGTGGAGGATTCAACATGCGGGGCAACTTCAGAGGAGGAGGTGAGCCTAAAAATAAGGCTGTGAATTCTGGAGGTTGCTGCTACTGAGGGAAAAAAGGGTGTAGTACTTGCATTGCAGTTATTATTTAGTGGGAATCTTGCTTTCAATTTCAGCAAGTTTTAACGTTTTAGTGCAGAGTTAATTGTCCAGCTTAAATGAGAAAATTGTCAAAATCCTGGATTGCGCTGTTGATTTTCAAGTAGGAAATATGTAAGACCTGAAGTAACTCTCTCCCTGCAGTCCCTGGCAATCGTGGTGGATACAACAGAAGGGGAGGCAACATGCCTCAGCGAGGTGGTGGAGGTGGCGGTGGTGGCGGTGGCAGCAGCGGTGCGATTGGTTACCCATATCCTCGCGGCCCTGTCTTTCCAAGCAGAGGTGGCTACTCAAACAGAGGAAACTATAACAGAGGTGGAATGCCCAACAGGGGGAACTACAACCAGGTGATGCTTGGGTGGGGAGGGGGGATTGACTGGGTGAACTACAATACTTTGGATGAGGTTGGTTGAAAGGTTTGGTGGCTGTGAACAGCTGCACACTAGGTTGTAGTGGTACACCACTGCCACACTGCAAGGCTTTTCCGGTTTAGTGCATGTGCACAGGGCTCTGAATGCTGTGTAAGAAGTGCTGCTGTGGATGTGGGGGTTCCATGTTAAGGCTGTACCTCTGTCTTGTTAAAAACGAAGATTTCTAGGGCATGTATGTGAAGGCTTGTGTTTAAGATTTTTTGTTTGTCACGTGTCCCCCTTCTCTCCTGACAATAGTAGTCACTGTTGTTCGGCTTTAGGGTCAAGGTGTATCTTTATCAAATATTTAGAGAACTTTATGGAAATGACTCTGCACAGTCTTTGTCTTGGTGTCTGGTATCAAACGCAACTGGTAAAGGTGCTAGCCTAGGTCTTACCTGGTGGAGTATCAGTGGAATTCACGAAAAAAAAATTGGATTACTGAAAAGCCAGCAGATGGAGCCCAAGCCAGTAAACATGGTTCAAGTTTGCATAATACTGACAAACAGGAGAAATGAAATATTTTATCTACTGGTATCAATGTCCCTTTGTTGTACCATAACTTCTATTTGAAGTTCTGTGGGTTAGCTCTTCTATTTTCAGTTGTGTGACCCATATCCTTTTGTCTGATCAGATAACATACCCTTGTAGCAACTACAGCCTTTCCTAACTGAAAATAGACAAGCTCTTGTATTTTTAGTTGTCCTGGTGCAGTTTAGCAGCTGAAAATAGGGTGAGGCAAAACTGGATTAGCCAGCTTTCCAGACCACTGGCAACGACAGTTTGAGCTGGCTTATTAATTCTGGTGTTCTCGCCCCTCGTTAAAAAGGAGTTGCTTAGAGAGGAGGCTTTTGATATTCTAGTGTTTTTCAGGGAGGGTTTTGTGTTTTGTGTAGTTTCCTTTGTTTTGTTTTAACACCAGACTGACAGCTTGAATTTGAAAGCTTCAATATGGTGTGTGGTGGTTTGGTGGTAATAAAGATTGGTATTAGTACACTTCTGAAAAACACATATAGATGTTGTTAAAAGCTGTTGTCCTCTTGCAGAACTTCAGAGGAAGGGGAAATAATCGTGGCTACAAAAACCAATCTCAGGGCTACAACCAGTGGCAGCAGGGTGTAAGTAGTCCCAACTTTATCTTTTTACTGATTTTTTTAACTTGAATATTTCAAAATGCTGACTGAAATAATTAGATGTGTAATCAAAACTGGATATTAAAATTTTCTAATGCTTGGTAATATCACTATAAATAGTTTCCTGTGCAAAACTTAATCTGGCTTGATGGTCTTGATATATCAAATATCAGCTGTGGCTTAACAGCCTTAATGGTATGTAGTGTTTGGCATCACATTACTGCTGTGAGGTGAGCTCATAACTGCCTTCAGTTGTTCAGAAACTTGCTGCTATTGGAGAGGATTTTATTCTTCTCAAGTTCCAGAGGAACTAGATGTTTGTTAAGTACTTTTTTTTTTTCTGTAAGAAATGTAACCATTTTGCAATTGCAGATTAAAACTAACTATTTATTCTTTATTGCAGCAATTCTGGGGTCAGAAGCCATGGAGTCAGCATTATCACCAAGGATATTATTGAATACCCAAATAAATGAACTGATACATATTTCTCCAAAACCTTCACAAGAAGTCGACTGTTTTCTTTAGTAGGCTAACTTTTTAAACATTCCACAAGAGGAAGTGCCTGCGGGTTCCTTTTTTAGAAGCTTTGTGGGTTGATTTTTTTCTTTTCTTTTTTTGTACATTTTTAATTGCAGTTTTAAAGTGATTCGTAAGAGAACCTCAGCATTGTGCACGATAAGAGAATGTGTCAGTATTTCAGGGTTCTGCATTTTATCTGTAAAATGTGACTTTTTTTTTACCACAACAAAAGTAAAACGTTGCTTTGTACCTGGTGTCTTTTTATTAAAGAATTTTCTCCTTTTTCCCCATCCCCCAATTTCTAAGAAACAGTCGTGAGTCATGTCACAATACAATAGCAGTGTTAGCAACCAGATTCGTACAGAGGCTTCTCAGTAGCCCTCAAATACCATGAGATTATGTAAAGCTCCATATTACACTCCATCTTCTCTATGAAGCTTTTGGGTTGGGAGGGGAGGAGGGGGAGGTAAAAGTTTCTGGCAATAACTAGGACTTTTTTGTAACACTTGGAACTCTTCAGGATGTTGGGGGCAAAGCAGAAACCTGGGGCTAAATAGTGAAGGTGGAGTGTATGTAGAAGCTCTTAAAGTTGTAAAACTCGGTTGCTTTATTTGTGGAGGCTCAAACTTGTGAAGGTACAACACCATAATTTCTTTTCCATTTGTTCTGCATTTTGATTCTGAAAAGAAGCTGGCTTTGCCCATTTCTTATTAAACAAAACTTGTTGTAAATCCAGTTGTCTAATGGGATCTATATGAAGTTAGCTGTGTGTCTGTATAACTTTCCCCACAAAATACTGTATACCTAGTGTGCTTGTAGTAGTTACTCCACCATTTTGTAAGCTAATGAAACTGTGAGTCACCCATTTTATATCTTAATTTTTAATCATGTCAATTTTCAAATGGGTGTATCTCCTTAGCCTGCTGATTCCTTTTCTCTTTAAAGAAGGTGGGTGGAGAAGTTTAACTCTAGACGTTTGTTTGCAATAAAATAAATTCATTTTACTCTTGTTTGGGATTGTCACCATCAAGGTCTAAAATCCCTTTAAGGCTATAAAGAGGAAGAGAATGTATGAAAGTGACGATGTTGGACAGTTTTAAAACTCATTGCTGTGTACATGCTCAAATACTTGTGTTTCTTTAAAATCTAAACTGGTAGTCGCTCTGTTAGAGATCTATCACATGTATAATTTCACAGTTTAACATGGTTATATGTATAGGGCAAAAGTCTTTGAGTTGGCTTGCATCATGTAAATCCACTTAACCTCTTTATTGTAAAATAGACATTAGGGAAGGGACTGGACAGGGAGTAGGATGGGAAAGAGGCTTGTCATGAAGTTTAACAGAGAGCTTCAATTTGTTTTAATTGCTATTATGTTCAGCTTTACGCTTCTGTAAAATTGTAGTGGCAATGTTAGCTGCTGACTTGTGTTTTAATGCCATGAGACAGGGGAGAGATGTCACCTTTGTCAGTGGGACTCAGCATACACGTGTGAGAACACGTGTCACTGCCGGCACTGGGGCGTTGGGCTGTGCTGGCCGAGTCCTCGTGGCAGCGTACAGCCTAGCAGAGGCTCCCTGGCAGCAGCCTAGAGCTGGAGTCTGTGTAGCGTGCTGCAAACTTCTCTCAAATGTTAGTCAATTTCTAGTAGTCTTCAGAAGTAAAGATAAAGTTGTGTTGCTCTTCTAGCCTTTATAGCAGATGCATATTGACATTAAACATTAACAGCACCACCTCCTTGTTAATATTGCTTTAAATCATCCCTTTACTTCGAATGAAAAAAATGTAAATTGTCTTTAAAGAAACGCTATTTAATGAACTAGAAATTTGGGGAGTTGAAACCCAAATCTGTTCTGCTGAAATGGAATTTTCTTTAGACTTGAAAAAAAAAAGTTTAGTGTAATTAAAGTCCATCTCCCTTCTACCCTCTTCATGAGAACTAACACTTTGTATGGAGTGCTGATCCTTTGCTTATTTTGGTACTCTATAAAATGATATAGTCTTAAATATAAGAGCCTACACTTACTATGTGGTTGTAAAGCTTGTATTTCAATTCAAAAGTCTGGGATGTTTTGTGTTCAAGTCTTTGCCACACATGAAGTGTCTCAAAAGAGGACTTTCTTGTTTCCGTTAAAAATGCTCCTGTATGACAGAAGCTGTTTTGGTAACTTCAGCACTGGCTGTACTGCTCATCTTCTCAGGAACAGAATTCAGAAAAGCTTTAGGACATGCACCACTGGGGCATGTGTAGTTCAGAGAGGGCACACAGAAAAGTCCCAAGCATGTCCTGCTCGTGGTTTGTCATAGTAGAGTGGAGACCAGCACTTGTGTGAGGCTGTGTGTTCAGCCTGGGTCTGCCCAGAGAGACTTCATCAGTATAGCTGTGATTATTCATAGCAAAGGGATTTGTTTTGCCATGTGAAAATTGCTTTTACAGAAAAGCCATTACCTAAAAAATCAGAAATATTTAAAAAATTGTGGTTTGCATTTAAAAAGGACAATATCAAACTTGGCTGATGGCTACAGAAAGGTGAGGAAGGCACAGCCAAACGTTGCCAAAACAAGAGGGATGAGCCATCTGTCATATCGAGTGATTTCTTGCAGCTTAGAAGGGCTTGTTTACATGCAGAAAAGTACCTGGATTACAGCAGCTGTGCTGCTGGCAGCAGCTGCGCAGACACTGACATACAGCTGGGTTTGGGGTTTGTGTTTTTGGGTGTTTTTCATATTGGAGGGCAAACTGGGTTTGCTTTTTTCTAACCGAGATGGTTTTTTTCCTAATGGAGTACAAACCTGGAGAACCTTGGGCCTGGCTCTGGCAGTAGAAGCATGGCTTAGGATGCCTGTGCAGCTCCTGGCAGCAGGAGCACTGCTGCTGGTGGTTCTCTCACTGCAGCCCTGCCTGCTGAATCTGCCGACATCTCTCATCCTAGAACAGGTTGTAGCTGCCCTGCATCCCGTGAGGGGGCCACGCACGTCTGGCTGCAGACTGAAGGCGGGTCTGTGCTGGGTATCCTGGGAGGAAGCGCCCATTTAACAACAAAACATAAACTCCAGTTATGTTTCTGCCTCTGCTAGTAACAGTCGCTAGGATACGCACTGTGTACAGGGAGGTGCTTCCCTGACATGCAACAGTCTTGGCAAGGAGCTCTGTCCTGGGTCAAAGGACTTTATAAATGCACTCTTAGCTGTGGGACAGCCAGGCCAGGCTTTGGTTCTGGGGTGCCATACGCGATCTCTACCCCCAAACCCCGGCTCTGCTGTCGTGAGCTGGCCCTTCCAGTGCTGCACTGCTTCCTGTGCTGCACAGGGAGTACTTGGCAGTGCTGCCACGTGTGTAGGAGCTCAGTGTAAGTGGTGCCTGTACACAAGTTCCTTTCTGTGCCTACTGCAGGATAACTCTTAATCAGTGAAGACATTTTTAGACATTGTGCCCAATTTTTCAGATAGCAGAATGAACCAGTGTTCTGGCAATGCCATGTACAGTCCAAGCCACTTGCATTTAAAAAAAATATTTATGGTGTAAACCACTAGTTTGGGTATTTTTCTAAATTTCTTGCAACACTAGAGTGATGTTTTTAATTAGGAATAGGTGATGAAGTTTCCTTGTTCATGACCTTTTGAAAAGCTAGGCCAGTGCTTTCTAAAAGGGCAATCTCAGACTAAACCCCAAGAAATCAAACTGAGTTAGAGAGAGAGGTGAAGTACTTTGAGACTCCTGCAGATGTTTAACTGCCGGGGGCTGGGCTCTCCCAAGCGAAGAAGTGTGCATATACTGTATTTGTGAACTACCAAGGGAGGAGCAAGTACTGCTGGAGATGGTTCGGCCCAAAGTGCTGTGGAGGACAAGGAAAGCTCCAGGATGTCAGAAAAAGCTGCTGAGGGGAAAGCAGAAACTCAGGAGCAGCTTTGTAAGTCAGGTGTTAACAAACTGGCTGTGGTGAACTTAAAGTAGCACCTCTCAGTCGTGCACAGTTCTCATCCTAGGCAAAGCCCCCTGCCCCGTGCAGGTGGAGGGGAGGAGGACACCTACACTTATCAGTGGCAGATTAGTGGTTAGTTTTGTGCAGCTTTTCTCCTTTGCAAGGCATGAGCCATCTCCCCCAGTGCAGCAGGCCTCTCCAGAGCCAGCCCTCACAGGGAACTGGCTGAAATCAGGACTAGGCCAGCAATTAATCTGGATGCAACTCTTGCCTTAGTTTGTCTTTCTGCCAGTGCTGGGAGTGGCAGGAAGATTCAGCGATGAATCGGTTGCTATGTTGTAGCTTAAAAAAACTCAACTGTGGCTTCAAAAAGATGCTAAATACTTAATACATTGTCAACATCAAAAGCAGAAAAACAAAGGCAAGTGTAAAAAACCTAGAACTACAATTACTTGTGCGGGTGACTTGATATACAAGTGTTACTTTAGACAGTTTTCTGTTCCCTCTTCTGGTTTGGTTGACAATCTTTGATCTGCAGAGTAATTTTGGTCCCAGAAGTCACTGAAGTCAAAACTATGGGTAAGACAACTCAGCCAATTTTTCCCTCAAATTTTTTCATGCTCGAAAAATTTTTACAACTTGGTAGTGCAGGGCAGATCCAACTTACACTAATGATGCGAGGATCTTCTGCCTGGTTAGCATGCAAGGATTGAAAGGGTACTTGTTTTTCTCAGTGTTAATTCCCCCTTTGCTAGGATCAGATGGCTGCTTAGTAGGACACATCTGGTGACTGCTGTGGCATATAAATGCAAGTATGTGTTCTCTGGTCTGAGTGTGGCCTTCATTTATGTCACATTAGCCTATGTTAACTCCTCTGCCACTCTGTGCTCTGGAGGTTTTCCCCCAGGTTTTAACAAATACTTGTCTGCCTTAGATTAGGGAGGTCTGTGCTGGCACTTAACAGACCACAAGTTCTGAAGTGGTGCTGATGCCCAAGACAGCTGCAAAATAAAAAGGCTCAGAATACTACTGAAGATCTCCCTGGGTGTAAATGCATGCCTAAAGTACCACTGATTGTTTACAAGGTGGGAGATGCATGAAAGGTCTGATTCTCTCTTCGTAGTTTCCATGTAACCTACTCAGACACAGCTAGAGCTATATTCGGGCTCTGCTGAACTTTCAGCTCTTTGGGGCTGTTGAGCAAGCAGGTAAGATAAACCTTGTATTATAAAATAACTTCTGTCTTTGTGGTAAGAAAGTAGTAAGAGATGAGGGAGAAGAAATGAGTAAGCCTAGAAGGAGGGATTTACTGCAATAATTTTTTCTGAAACAAATAACACTTGGGGTTTGCTCACATCATGCTGAGAAACAACGTTCAGAAAAGTTGAGCTAGCAGAGGCACGTCCACCTGCAGCATCATGTGCAGGTTGCAAGCAGCAGAGCTATGTACCCCAAAGCCTGGCACCCCCACATTGTGCATACTATGTCTTCTCCACTGCATCCTCCCTGCTGCTGTTGGAGCACCTGGGGGCCTCCAGCCCAGCCTGGGAGCATTGCATCGAAGGGAACAAGCAAAACAGGATGTTACTGTCTCAATCAAGGTTGCCCTCTATACCAAACTGGGTTCTTTCTGCTTTGGGGTTTTTTTCTGTCTCTCTGTAGGTTGTAGCATTGTAGAAATTTTGTTTCTGGACATGCAGTCCATCCTCCTGCTTGCAGCAGGACTGGCACTTATGCTCAGGTCAGCTATGGCTTTGTCTAGATGAAGCTTGAAAACCTGCAAGGGTGGAAACTGCATGACCTCTCTGGGCAGCCCAGTGCACTGCCCTTGGAGTAAAGCAGTTTGTCCTGCTGCCTGGCCTCGAGCTCCCAGGCTGGAGTTTGTGGCCGCTGCCCCTGCCACGTCACCTGCAGCTATCAGGAGGCATTTGGCTCCATCTTTGTAAGTCCTGCAGATAATATTAGGCTGTTACTAGGTCACCTCACAGCCGCCTCCTCCTTGGACTACGTCCAACTCCTTCCACTGTTTTTCCGGAGGGTAGGCAGTTGAGCTCCCTGGACATACCTCAGGAGCCCATCACTGTAGCCTCTATAGTTTTTCAGCATCCTTGTTAGGTGAGAGGCCCAAAGCTGGACAGCAATATTGGATACATTGCCTTCTCAGTGTCACATGCCGGCAGATAAGCACGTCCCTTGATTTGTTGGCCACGTACTTCCTGATGGAGCCCAGACTGCAGCTTGACTTATTTGCAGAGAGAACACTCCCCTGGCCCACGTTCAACTTGGCATCCACTCTAAGTCCTATCCTTTTCAGCAGGGTGGCTATTCAGCTTGCTGCTTCCCAGCATCTAGTGGACACTCTATTATGCAAGCAGCTACTATGTAAAAATAACTATAACAATAATAATAACAGCAATATTTAAAATCTAACTTATTAAATAGATAAACAGTAAGTCAAGCAACCAAAAAGAAACATTAGTTTTAAATTACTTGTGCAAATTAAATGTGTCATGTATTCTCCCCATTTACTTTGGGAGACCTCGGAGAAAGCAGCCAAAATAGTGCAATAAGAACAATTTCAGTACTTATGCATCAGTGAACACAACACTTAAATATCAAAAACCACATTTGGATTCCAGGCCTAGGACATTCCTTCAATCATACCTTTTGCATGAATGTGCCTGCCCCTTTTTTTTCCAGAAAGTATCTCCTGTGTGGAGCAGGGGCCCCCAAGTGCCACACCGGCTGCCGACCCTCAAGATGACTGGCTGGTTCCCGTATGTGGCTGCGATAGGAGCTGCTTCCTCCAA